TAAGGCATAAAAATGTCATAGTATAGTAAGGCAAAAAAAGTCATAAAAACGACATAGTATAGTATGGCAAAAAAAGTCATAAAAACAACACGGTATAGTAAGGCAAAAAAATGTCATAGTATAGTAAGGCACAAAAAGTCATGAAAACGACATAGTATAGTGAGGCACAAAAAGTCATAAAAACAACATAGTATAATATGGCATAAAAATGTCATGGTATAGTAAGGCAAAAAAGTCATAAAAACGACAGTATAGTAAGCCATAAAAACAACATAGTATAGTGGGGCAAAAAAAGTCATAGTATAGTAAGGCACAAAAAGTCATAAAAACGACATAGTATAGTAAGGCATAAAAATGTCACAGTATAGTAAGGCAAAAAAAGTCATAAAAACGACATAGTATAGTATGGCGAAAAAAGTCATAAAAACAACACGGTATAGTAAGGCACAAAAATGTCATAGTATAGTAAGGCACAAAAAGTCATAAAAACAAAATAGTATAGTAAGACACAAAAAGTCATTAAAACAACACAGTATAGTAAGGCATAAAAATGTCACAGTATAATGAGGCAAAAAAAGTCATAAAAACAACATAGTATAGTAAGGCATGAAAATGTCATAGTATAGTAAGGCAAAAAAAGTCATAAAACCAACATACTATAGTAAGGCACAAAAAGTCATAAAAACAACATAGCATAGTAAGGCATAAAAATGGCATAGTATAGTAAGGCACAAAAAGTCATAAAAACAACACCGTATAGTAAGGCATAAAAATGTCATAAAAATGACATAGTATAGTAAGGCATAAAAACGTCATAGTATAGTAAGGCAAAAAAAGTCATGAAAAGGATATAGTATAGTAAGGCACAAAAAGTCATGATAACAACATAGTATAGTAAGGCATAGAAATGTCATAGTATAGTAAGGCAAAAAAAGTCATGAAAACGATATAGTATAGTAAGGCACAAAAAGTCATTAAAACAACATAGCATAGTAAGGCATACAAATGGCATAGTATAGTAAGTCACAAAAAGTCATAAAAACAACACAGTATAGTAAGGCATAAAAATGTCATAAAAATGACATAGTATATTAAGTCATAAAAACGTCATAGTATAGTAAGGCACAAAAAGTCATAATAACAACATAATATAGCAAGGCATAAAAATGTCATAGTATAGTAAGGCAAAAAAAGTCATAAAAACGACATAATATAGTAAGACATAAAAATGTCATAGTATAGTAAGCCAAAAAAAGTCATAAAAACGACATAGTATAGTAAGGCACAAAAAGTCATAAAAATGACATAGTATAGTAAGGTATAAAAATGTCATTGTATAGTAAGGCAAAAAAAGTCATAAAAATTACATAGTATTGTAAGGCAAAAAAAAGTCATAAAAACGACATAATATAGTAGGACATAAAAATGTCATAGTATAGTAAGGCACAAAAAGTCAAAAAAACAACATAGTATAGAAAGGCATAAAAATGTCATAAAAATGACATAGTATAGTAAGGTATAAAAATGTCATTGTATAGTAAGGCAAAAAAAGTCATAAAAATGACATAATATAGTAAGACATAAAAATGTCATAGTATAGTAAGGAAAAAAAAGTCATAAAAACGACATAGTATAGTAAGGCATACAATTCACGAAAACGACATATTATAGTAAGGCACAAAAATCATAAAAATGACATAGTATATTAAGGCACAAAAAGTCATAAAAACGAGGTAGTATAGTGGGGCACAAAAAGTCATATAAACGACATAGTATAGTAAGGCATACAATTCACGAAAACGACATATTATAGTAAGGCACAAAAATCATAAAAATGACATAGTATATTAAGGCAAAAAAAGTCATAAAAATGACAGTATAGTAAGGCATAAACATGTCATAGTATAGTAAGGCAAAAAAAGTCATAAAAATGACATAGTATAGTAAGGGACAAAAAGTCATAAAAACGAGGTAGTATAGTAAGGCACAAAAGTCATAAAAACAACACAGCATAGTAAGGCACAGAAAGTCATAAAAATGACAGTATAGTAAGGCAAAAAAAGTCATACAAACGACATATATATTAAGGCATAAAAATGTCATAGTATAGTAAGGTACAAAAAGTCATAAAAATGACAGTATAGTAAGGCAAAAAAAGTCATGAAAATGACATAGTATAGTAAGGCAAAAAAAGTCATAAAAACGACATAGTATATTTAGGCATACAAATCATGAAAACAACATATTATAGTAAGGCAAAAAAAGTCGTAAAAACGACATAGTATAGTAAGGCACAGCAAGTCATTAAAACGAGGTAGTATAGTAAGACACAAAAGGTCATAAAAACAACATAGTATAGTAAGGCACAAAAAGTCATAAAAACAACACAGTATAGCAAGGCATAAAAATGTCATAGTATAGTAAGGCACAAAAAGTCAAAGAAAGGACATTGTATAGTAAGGCATACAATGTCATAAAAACAACAATATAGTAAGGCACAAAAAGTCATAAAAACGACATAATATATAAGGCATACAATGTCATGAAAACAACATAATATAGTGAGGCTTTAAAAAATCATAAAAATGAAATAGTATAGTAAGGCATAAAAAGTCATAAAAACGTCATGGTATAGTAATGTATAAAAAGTCGTAAAAAAGACAAAGCATAGTAAGGCATATAGAGTCATAAAAATAACATAGTATAGTGAGGTACAAAATGTCATAGTAAAGTAAGGCCTAAAAAGTCACAAAAAACAACAGTTTAGTTAGGCAGAAAAAAATCATCACATAGTAAAGCATGAAAAGGTACAACATAGTATAGTAGGCCATAAAAACATCATAATATAGTAAAGCATAAAAAGTTAAAAATGACATAGTATAGTAAGACATAAAAAGTGACAAAAACAACATAGTATAGTATGGCATGAACTGTCATAAAAACATCATAGTATAGTTAGGCATAAAGACTTCATAGTATAGTAAGGCATTAAGTTATCATAAAAATGTCATTGTATAGTAAGGCATAGAAAATCGTAAAAACGTCATAGTATATTAAGGCAAAAAAGTTATAAAAAAATCATCGTATAGTAAGGCATGAAAATGTACAACTTAGTATAGTAAGGTATAAAAACGTCATAATATAGTAAAGCATAAAAAGTCTAAAAACGACTTAGTATAGTAAGTCATACCATCCATATGCAAACCTATGCCCTTGGTGCTTGCAGTTCTAACCAAGCAGCTAAATGTCCAACAGATTACCACCTTGTTGTATGTTTAGCTTCAAAGTACTCTGTATATCCTTCAGCTCATCCTTACCTATCCTTCTATTTAACTACACTACAGCCCTGAGTATTAACAATATCTGTAAAGTGTTTTGCTAATTCTCACTAGTTTTTCTAACGAATTGGATCTAAATTGAATCAATTTTTTAAAATTTTCTCAACTCAGAAATTATTATTGGTGCAAGTGGATGGATTTATTTTTTACTTTTGCATTTGACCTCATAGCAAGTACGATGATAAAGCATCTTAGATTTTAACACACACTATATCTACTTTGTAGTTGTCCAAACCTCAGAAGGTGTTGATCCCAGAGCGCTATGTGGATTCAGAGCCTGAGGAGCCTCTCAGTCCCCAGGAGGTGGAGGAGCGTCATCGTAAGGTGGAGCGGATCAAGACCATCTTGGCAAAATCCAGGTAAATAAAGTAGTAGTATTAGTATACTAATAGTCTTAGCATTAGTATGAAATAATACTGATTTTCCGTTTGAAATTTGTGTGGCTGATCCAAAACAAATTCTGGGGTAGCAGGAGTCTTATGGTCACAACCAGTTCACCCCACTCAGATTTAAGCTTTATGTGGCAAGATATACCCTCACAGCAATTCCTGCAGCATCATATTATTAACATTCATGTATCTATGTGCATGGGGCAGTGTGCAAAACCTAGGACCAGCGGTCTCTGTGGATAAACCTGAGGTGGGGCTGGTGGCATTGGACTCAGCTCTGCAGGAGCAGGAGAGGATCATCACCATGTCCTACGCTCTCGCCTCAGAGGCTTCTCTCAAGAGCAAACTAGTGGCAGGTTGGTCATTCATATCATTTTTAATTATTTTTTTGTTTGTGTCAGCCTGTAGGTTGCTGTTGGTTATACATCTTTGCTTTATAAAGGAGTACAAAAATCATTATTCCACAGGAAAACTTATAGAAATAATTACTGTATCTGCCAAAAAAAAAAAAAAAAAAAAAAAAAAAAAAACATACCAGTGCTGACAATTTCAGTAAAATTTCTCCTGGCATCAAATTGACATCTTTTGATTGAAGAAGGGATAAAGAGAGGGAAGCAGTCTTTCAAGAAAGCTGGATTGATGGAGTGTAGATGAGGAGGGCGTAAGGTGCAGAGTCAGGCAATAAGGCTGTTCATTTCCTAATAACTGAACATTATTCCTTATTAGGAGCTCAGATAGTCTCTAATTGCAATCCGTGTAGAATCTTTCAGACAGGGGAGGAATCGCTTGATGAGGCCATTTTGTGTGCTGATCAATGACCCAACTCTACTCTCCTTCTGCATACCATTGCTGCTGCTTTGAACATATCTCTGAACCTGCATAAAAGCCACTGCACTCACTTTTCATCTCTTTCATACTCTACAGCAGGCAGGCAAGTTCATTTTCACTGTAGCTGCAGCAGATTGTCAGTCTGTCTGCCTCGCACGCACACACTCACAGACACGCACACACAGACACATATGCACACATATACCTGTCACACACAGTAACACTCAAGCTGTCAGTGTGTGTGGAAGCTTAATATGCACAGTGAGGCAAAGTCAACAATTATAACATTATTTCTAGCATAGAGAAATGTCAGAGAATATAACTGGTGGCATCTTGTCAGTGGAGACTGAATCAATGACTTTCTCTCCCTTTGGTGTTAAAGTAAGGTATGCTGGTGCACTTTCAAATCCCTGAATTAAAAGAAAGAGTCTTTTTCACTGTATTATGCATTTGGCATAAAAGCAGGAATATTCAGCGCTACAATTAAGTACAGTATATATTTAAAAAGGTGTTTCTGATTATTGCATGTGTTATTTTGAACAGTTAAAATAATGTGGTATTTTGTAATTAGTTATTGGAAATATTTATTGTAAAGAATCTAACTTTGTGCTGGAAAAATGATCTACAAAACTTCCTGGTGTAGTGCCTCTTCAACTATTTATTGTTTTTTTTTTTCTTTTAAGCTGATGAAATGTTCAGATGATGAAAGATAAAGCACACACCACAGCACTGTGTACAGACCACAATAAGCCTCAAATGCTTGTTGCTGGAGGAGATATTAACTACAGACATTACCATCCTAATGACTTCTTTTTCTTTTCAAATACCTTTAAATCATTTGCTGTTTGGGATTCAGGTTACCTCAAAACATGCTGATATCTTAAAATCTACATAACCACCTGAAACCTGGTAAAAACAAAAGCCCATAAAGATGATACTGATGAACCCATTTGAAATGTTCTGCATCTACAGTCATGGATCTTTTCACATTCCTGAGTAAGGGTGGGGCATCTTTATTGACGGAAAGTCAAATTGCAGTTACTTCAAGTATTCTACACACACACACACACACACACACACACACACACACACACACACACACACACACATTCCCATCTGGTTATTTCAACAGTGACTTTTCAAAAACGATATAAAAACAATATACAGTGATATTAGATTTTATCCATGTAGCCCACCAACAGTGCCATTAGTATGCAGAGCACAGGAAGTGTAACTGTAGTTGACAGAGCTTAATCACTGTCATAGTTGTGTGTCCTTTCCAGAAAACATTGTGTGGTTCTCAACCAGTTCCAGCCTTCAGTGTGGCCTTGAAACTGTCCCAGAACTGGCCACTTGACTAACAAACAATGTTGTTTTCTCCCTCTCTCTTTTCCCTCTGTCCTCTCCTCATAGTTCCACCACAGGCTAACATCCCCACTGTTCCTCCCCCTCCTCCGCCTCCTCCGCCTCCTCCACCACCACCTCCTCCTCCTCCCCTCCTCCTCCTCCTCCTCCTCCTCCTCCTCCTCTTCCTCTTCCTCCTGTATCTCCTCCTGTATCTCTGGCACCTCCCTCTCCTCTAAGCAACGGAATTCACTACACGTTTGTCTAATCTGAGACACAAAGTAAGGCCTAACTGCATGTTTTATGGCGCTAATGTTTTCCAAGCCACACTAATTCTTTCTAACAAGGGGCTCCTGTGTGCTTTGCACCTCACTCAATGCTTACTGCTCTGTTGTGATTGTAGGAAACACATCTTGTCTAGGTTAGGGAAGCCCTGCCTCTGCTCCCATTATAATCAAAACAAACATCTGCAGGCAGTCCGCTCATCCCACTGTGATAATTGTGTGTAAATTGTTTTTTTTTTTTCTTTTTTGTACCACTGCCAAAATATTTATGGATGGTTGAGGAAAGAAAAGGCTGAAAGGAACATGACTGTTTGTAGCATTGTGTATAATTAACAAAAGAGACACCTTTTGATTTAGCACCTTGACAGTTCAGTAGTCAGCACAGCTGCATTCCACGGCACCAATTAGCTCCCCATCTGTAGCCTGGCAGCAATAAGCCAGAAAAGAAAAAAAAAACAGTAGATACCACTGTTGTTACTGTAAACACAGAGAGAAGGCTTGTGTTGTTTTACTGCCTTATTAAAAAAACTTCCATCCAGCAGCCAGAACTGACAAATATTTGATTACTAAATTTTATTTCTGAATTTTTAGTGGCTTTGATTTATATGGTAATTAGCCTTCCTTGAACAAATAGGTATGAAATAAATAGCTGGATGGAGATTTTTTTTAAAGGTGCCATACATAGCCACATATACATAGAACAATCAGATGTTGATAAATGAACACTATAATGCATGTCACAAGAAGTAAAAGCATGAACTGTCCTCTTGTCAGCCTGGCATCAATTGAATGTGATTATTATTCTCACATTATTATTATACTTATTATTAACTGTATAAGGAATCTTTATTCCTTGAGAACTTGTGTGACTGCTTGCTTTTTCCATTTATTGTTGTTCTGTGTGTGATACTTATTTTGCCCAAACTTTTTTTTTTTTCTTGTAGCTCTCTCACCTCATGTTCAGGTCTGCTGTTAGAGGTGGGCTGTGATGTGTAGTTGGTTTGTAAAAGTTGCTCTGCCACTTTGGCAGCTTTGTGATCAAAATGACATTCACGATCTACTAATTGGATTTACTTTCAGTATGAAAAGTACAGAACTACAGCAGAGATCACATTGCTGTGCTGTGTCTGCAGAACTGTTCACCAAACAGTAGTGGTGCAACATTCACCGAAGTGCTGTAGCAGTGATACACTGCAGAAAATTCAATTGTTTTCACTGACAATTTGCACATTGAGGAAGTGTTCACTCATTCTTATATTTATTAATTATATGGGTTTCACATCTGTGTGGCAGCTGTTTTTGCAGTGCATGTGATAATTTCCTTAATGATTGTCCTCCAGTGTCTCTTTTAGTAATGTGCATATTATCATAATTGGTAGGCATCTAAATTTAGGGCACAGGCTTATTTGACTAATACATACTCTATGTCTAAGAAGGAAAGATTTGGTTAATTTTAGAGTTTAAAATCAAAACTAACTCTAAAAATAACCTAAAGACAGTAAGAGCCAGGAGAAGTATTGTTTTTAGGATTCATTCATTTGAGGAAAGAAAGAAAAAACTCTAGTATGATCTGATTTTGATTAATTTTGCTGTCATGCTTATCTTGTTCACTGATATTTACTGTTTTTGTACTTACTTTGTCTTTCTTTCTTATCACCTCTCAGCTCAAGCAATTTCTGGACACTGAGGTGCTATCCCACAATGACAACAACTGGATTCTGCAAAAAAAGGAGGATTTTGTTTGATTTTGGACATTTACACCTTTCCATATACAGCAGTAGAAGAACTGTAGTAAACATTTACAAGACAAAACATCTCTGTGAGGCTCAAGCAGCACTGACTCCTTCAAGTGTTTCTAGTTGCTGACGGCAACTTTCCTGAGGAAAACAGAAGACGTGGGAGCTGCTGTGCTTATTAACTGAGTGTCTAACAAATGATAATCTCATAGTAATAAAAAAATGATTTTCTACATGTTATTGCACTTTGAATTGTACACTGTATCATGTTTTCAAGGTATGGCTGACTTGCTTTTACTTGCAGTGTGATCTCAACTCAGAACATTTATGAGGTTTTTGTTCGTTTATTTGTTTTTTCAGGTACAAAATGTTATGAACAGGAGGTACTAAATGTGTCATGACGGTAGTATTTTTATCAGATAATATTCTTACACCAAACCATGTGAAATATCATATGTATGTACCTGTAGCACTGCCAGTCTCCTTTTAGCTTGCCAAAATGAATTTTATTTTTGCTTACATCAGGATGAAAATAACCTTTAACATATTTTCTGTGTGACTGGGGAAGGTTGCACAATGGAAATTTATAAAAATGTGAATATTAAAGATATTAACACAATTTCTGGTTCATCACATATGTATTTATTTCCCTATTTTTATTTCAGTTCACTAAATTTATTTCATATTTATCAGCCAAAAGTATAAAATTCTGAATAAGAGTAAGTAAGAATGTGACATTGAATGCTTATTTTGCCTTTGACACCCAACTGAGCTGTCTCATTAAAAGCAGTTTTAAATGAGATTAAAAGTTTATTATCGACCCTGGAAACAGAAGTTGACAAAATAATCTCACGAGGTCTAAGCAGTAAAGACAAGTTCGCTTGTCTTTGCTGCTGCAGAAGCAGGGTAGTTGTAACACAAATTCCAGATTTGTGTCTTACTTTTCCTGCTGTCTACTTGTAGAGATTGGGCAATGAATACAAATGTAGTTCAGACTGTCTAAAACTAATCTATAAATTTAGGTTTCATTATTCTTACTCTGATTGAGAAATTACACTAAGAAATTTTACTGACATTATTAACTTTTAACCTAAAAGAGCCTTTGTTCTTTATTATATTTCACTGGTGCATTTATTGACCATATCTTTATTCTAATCATGTACAAAGGAAAAGTACAAAATGTGCACTCATCATAGCTCTGAGATTCTCTTTGAACCTCCACATTGATTGCCGTGACCTATTAAACTTCATTCTATTATTTGAAAAAGGAACCAAACTATGGCATGCTCAAAGGAGGTGAAGTTTCAATACAAAAAAGAGAGGCTTCTTGAAATGTTTCTCAAGTTCAAAGCTTTTTCTATCTCAAAAGAGCATTTTTAATTCCGTGTATTTTCAACCAAGAAGGTGGATACTAATAACTCTGGATTCTGAAGTACAGAATTCATATCTTTAAATCATGAACTATGCCTCCATTGCAATTGTAAAAGAAACCTCTAAGAACATCTGAGTCAAAAAGAAAAGAATATAGAGAATATGTTTTTAAATAGAAAGTGTGACAGCGCTGTTAAAAACCAAACCTTGAGGTTTTCAACACATATGTTTATTTTATTAAATTTTATCATGAATTGCCCTGGTACAAACGTAGACCCTAGGATGTGATGCACACACTTGTAATGGATACAGCACCCTCGCCTTCCTTCGCTTGTCTGTTGTGTTGCGGCTCCCTCCCAAGTGACATCTTTATCTTTAATTGGAGAGTAATTACTTTCACTCGTCTGCATCGTGGTGTGCTTTGAAAACACCTGAGAGAGAGGATGCACCTCCCTCAGCAGCCACATCCTCTCTGCCTCCATCTCTCCTCCAGGATCGGGGGCCCCACAGCGCCTGCTGGCCCTGGTGGCTAGAAGACCCATCACATCCTCTGTTCTGCTTATTTTGCAATAAAATGGGATGTTTTTCCCTCCTCCTGCAAAAATTCACCCAAGACCCTCCACTGAGGATTGTGGCATTTCCATGTATTGACGTTTGGCTGGTGGTTCATATACATTTGTTATTCTATGCTCTGGACTTCAAAGAGAATGAAAGAGGGCCTATTATGCTAATTGGGTCCTGTTCTGTTAAACGCAATCAAGGCCTCCTGCATTAATCCTTTACTAAATACTTACTGGCTTTAGAAATGCTTTCTCAGATGTGAAGAGACTAAGACACACACTGCTTAGTTTACTGACAGGGATGTGGTTTTTCTACAAGTGAATAAGAGGTAATAAATAAGTAGCAGTAAATAAAATGTCTCGCTTGAAATCAGAAAAAGTGAAACAGCTTCATGTCAGTGTTTATAGTGTGCTTACACTGACATTGATTAGGCGAAGGCTTTGACTTTTGTTGCTTTTTTTTTGCCAGGTCTGTGGTTGAAAGGAAGAGCCTATTGAGACCATGCTGAGAAGTCTGACCTTGTTCTCAGGTCCACATTGTTCACTACACTGCACCCCGCATTTGTAACATATTCACAGTGTTCCCCCGACAGTAGCAGGAGAAAGGAGAAATCCTACACTGATTCCCAGAGATGCCTATTTCCATCACATAAATATGATTGTTACTTGCCGTAAATGTCTGAGGATTAGACTACAGTGGAAACGCATCCGGCGCCTCCTTTGCACACTGTGGGGATCCAGATTGTAGTCCAATTGTACAAATACAAAACCAAGGAAGCCGATGCAATAGGTGCTTTGATTTCAAAATAGTATTTTATGCTGTTTTATCATTTTCAGGCTCCACATATGGTACATTTTCTAATATGTAAGAAATGGAATGGTGATTTGTTGAATAATTGAAGAGTTAGGAATCACTGAATATTCTTCCCAACGTGCATGCATGCTATAAAAAGAATAGAGGGAAAGCTGAATTAGAGTCATGCTGCACCACACTGACCTAACTATTTGCAGAAATTAAAACAATACCTTCTGTGGAATCTCTTATTTCAAAGCTATTGTGCCTTGGTTTTAAAGATGTGGTATCATTTGGGAGTTAATACAAATGTAAAAATAATAAACATTGAATAATAGCTTTACTGGCTTAATATATTGAACAGTAAGAAAACACAATTCCTCCAACATAAATGATTAAGTGTGTGTTGAGAAGGTGCTGTGTTACATTAAACAATGTATTCATCTCATGTTCCTTAAACGGCAGGCTTTTACAATACCTACAGTGAATTGGGCTTTTTGTACATAAAAGCAATTGCTTTGTAAATGAACCAAATGCCCCTGGGCCTCCTCTTTAATCTCCATGCACACATACACACTGAGCTAAGTGAAATTTACTGCATTCAATGATGCCAATGAAAAGGCTATGAATGTATCTTCAGGTCCACAGTACAATGTAATGGTGACACACTAGTCTTTATTTAATGCATATGCAAAAATGAACATACATATTAATAAATGTAAGGGCATTCTTCTGAAGGAAAATCATTTTAAAACTGTCAGATTAGGACTTGACTTGAAAATATCTGTTTCGCTGAAATACATAAAAACACAAAGGTAGTTGGTTCAGAAGGAAAATTGATAATTTTGGGTTATTTACTGGTGTCTCTTACATGGAAAACAAGAAGTTTTCACATATTCAGATTCCTGATTGGGCTTCAAACAAATAGAGCGCAGGTTATGCATCTAGAAATACATTACATATAGGCTATTATCATATGTTCAAAATGTATTTGTGAGTACTGCAGAGTTGATATTTGTAGTATTGTTGGCACAGGATGTGTGATGGTGTCCCTGATAACTATATAATTAGAACTGGCATGTTGCACTCCTTATTTCAACATGATTAATCAGTGGTTCTCTGTTAACTTGAAAGGAAATATTAGATCCTGACTAAACTTTGATGAAATCCAGAGTTACAAGTAAGAGATTTGGGTCAACTAATGAGAACAGAGCGTCCCACTTTGCAAGTCCAATTGGGAGAGAGATGATTTGCATGTATGCAAATAGTGTTTGAGTTAATTGCATAACTTGGCATTCAGTAATGACTAAGTTGTGTTGTATTTTTTTTTTGTTGTTCTTTTTTTTTGTGGAAGTTGGTCCTTTACAACTGGACCGTGTCAGTGGTTGAGAGGGTTGGCAGAATCGTCTCATTGATGGCAGGTCAGAGTGGCCTCAGAAGTTTATGGAGAGTTTCGTCATTTCTTGTCACTGAAACTCTTCTTATGTGTCAGTCATTTACACTTTCAGAGCACACAACCCTAATCCAGGACAGTGCTTCTATGTGAGCTAGGTGACTGTTTACAAAGCAATGTGGCCTGTATTTATATTCAGGAAGTACATATTTAAAACACAGATATTCTGTATCCATTCCTACATTTTCAAGTGCCCACTGTCATGGGGGGCAAACACTGAACACAGCTGCCTAAATGTTCTTTTCCTCAGAGCCCTCCACCGCCTCTTGGACTAAACTCAGCTGCTAAAATACAGCACATTCCATTACTTGTTCATATACTTGTAAACATCTTCATGATTGTATGAGAGTGAAAAACAAAGGTGTGTCTCCTCACCTGCACATTCTTTGAATATATGAATTAAAAATATTCTTAAGTTTTAATAACAATTCATTATGTGATTATGCACATGCACCAATCCTCTGTAGGTCAGGATTACAATTTAAAATCATATAATGAATAACAGCAGGTTTACAACTCTTTATAAATGTATTTAAAACTACTGAACATGTGAATATATATGTATATACATATACAACTATATTACTCTGTTATCAAATATATATTATCTGTTAGCAAAGACATCAATAAACACTTCAAAAATGCCCTTACATCTGTTTCCAACTGCATCATAGTGCGTTATAAATGTATACATAATGTATATATAATGGTATATTCTGCTTATAAATGCTAAATAGGGAGTTCATATAAAGTGTTACTGTTAAAGTGGTTACCCCATGTCCTGACACATTAACCTGAAGTGGTTTCACGTCACACTCAAAGGTTTAAAGTAGAACTTTGATAATCTTCTGCTTTTATAATGCAGATAATTATGAATCCTCGTTGAGAATACTAATCACTGTAGTCCTAAGCATGAATCAGCTGCACACCTTTGAAACCTGCTCTGTCTGCACTGTAATCACAGCAGCCCCCCACCCCACCCCCCTCATCTTCACTCACCCTCACTCACTGACTGAATGGTGTTCTCTAATTAACCATGCAGAACAGGAGAAGAACACATGTTAATTTAATGTAACAAAAATGTTGATTTTCATGCACTCTCCTTTTCAAATATTTATGGGCTAGACTTGAATTTCAAGATGCATCAAAGACTCACAGGGTATGCAAATGTGTCTGCCTTACCCCCCAACAAGTTGGACTGTCTTTTACTCTTCACGCAGGCTGCATGCACTACCATCTGAGCTATAAAGAGGAAACCATTACAGTCACCTCTGTAAAAATAGTAGCCTATATTTGTGTTTTGAGAACTATCCGCCACACGCTGGCACCTGCTCAGCTGCAGCCATAAGTCATCTTCAATCATATTTCACAGGTTAAAGCCGGGCAATGAATACCACATCAAGCAAATATAATGAGCCATGTCTTTTTGCAGCTACTTCTTGTGCTTATGATGCAGATCAGATTGTCAATTTGAAAGCAGCATAAATGTAGTGCAAAAGCAGGAATCTCAAGTGCTTGAAGGGAATTATTTGAATTATTTTTTCAATGAGCCTGTATCAGGGTGCAGTGCAGTGCTGACCAAATTTGAAAATAATTCAAAGCAGCATAAAGTTCACCTTAAAAGAAGCAGAAGGTTGTGGCTCAAATCCTCTGGTTTGGTCTCTTGTACAGTCATCTGATGTTTGCGGGACAGACGATATTTGCAGGTGTTTCCCGCAGTGTCCGAAAGGTGGCGCATGAGACACGTCAAACACACGTTTCAATCCGGGTGGTGAAAGAAAAGTCCGCTCCTTCAGAGGCCACACTCACAGCAGATATCACATATGACTCACCATGCATGGGTCTGAAAAATGCAGTGTTAGATTGTTGCAGGATTATTTATAATTTCACTGTGTTTGAGTTTACTGTCAGTGAAGTAGGTGGCAAGTGGTAGATTCCTCTAGTTTTACAGTGGGTGAATCTCAGGAGGTGTTCAAGTTCAAACAACAGAAAAAGTTTATTTCCTAAAGGTAAGTTCTTTCTTTCTTTCTTTCTTTCTTTCTTTCTTTCTTTCTTTCTTTCTTTCTTTATCTCATTTTACCTTCAAGCCAATTTCAGCATGAACATTTACACAGTCACACACACTGCAGAATGTGCAGCTCCGTGTACAAGAAGAACAACAAGGGAGAGAGTTTAAACTTACAGCAAAAAGGAAAGTGATAGCTGCGTACACAGCGGGCGCGCGGCTGAACGTTGCGATGCTCCTTTGATGGAGACGTGGAGCGGTTTTTTTTTTTTTTTTTTTTTTTACCTCACTTTGACCAAAAAGAAAGACAAAGTGTGAGGTGCACAGGGGTCTGAGCTGATGCGATGTTGTGATTGAGTTCTGTGGCCAATTCTCTCTCTCTCTCTCTCTTTCCCCCTCTCTCTCTCCTCTCTCTCTGTCACTCTCTCCCTCTCTCTGTCTCTCTTTCTGTGCTTCTCCTCCCTCTTTCAGCTCTATGTGACTCTGCAGTTAACAATCTGAATTTTCTCCAGCTGTCTTATCTCTTTGTAAGTAACTTTCTTATTTCTCTTATGTGACACATGATGGTCTGTTGTTATGACACTTACGGCATGCTGAATAACGGACTGGTAGTGGATGAGTGCTGTGATGTATGTTGGGCTTCTGTCCCCTTTTTCTGTTTCTGTCACAAAATGCTGCTGTTGATTTGTAGATTACAACTTTTCCGTCTGCTGTTTCGCTCATTTTTCTTTTTTTTGGGTTTCTTTCCGATGAGTGCACGGCTCTGTTGGAATTTCTTTTGTGTGTTTGACATCTGCGGGCCTCCTCCGAGCTCAGCTGATCATTTAAAACATATGCTCATGCAATACAGAGAAGTGTCTCGTTGTAAAAGCTTCTGTTTTGGCAAGTGATCGCAACCTGTGGGTTCCCCGGGTCAGACCTTTCATTTCATTTCAGATGCCTGGAAGCTTTTCTCGGGTCTGTTTGAAAACATAATATAGGGTTTATTTAAGTGAATTTGTGTCATTGGTCTAACATATTATTAACTGAGTACGCATTGACGTAGTGATGCATAATAATGATTATTTTAGTTATTGCCTGTGTGTGAAAATCCCATTAGAAATTTTATGCAAAAACTGAAACAAATAAATGTATCAGTCTATGAAAGTTAAAAGTTAAACGTGATGCTGCAAAATAACATTTTCTCTCCGACCATTAGCCACATTACATATTTAAAAAAAAAAACAATTACAGACTAATCATTCCTATTTCTAAAATCGCTGTGGTAATTTAAATTGTAAAAATCTCAAAACTGATCATGCCACCAAGATAAGTCTTTTATTTCTGGCATATTCTTTAAATCTAATGATTTAATTATCTAATAATAATACGGTGTGAAAATAGTAGAATAATAATAAAACGCTTTTCTCCACTACAAGAATGTGGGATGTGTTAGACAAGGGTTTTGTAGGATAATCTATCAAGAAATATTTAAAAATCTAGAAAAGCTGAGGTGCGTAATGTGACTTCCAGTCCATGAAAATGTGCAAATATGTGAAGACAAACTGGAGATTTCCGGATGCTGTGCAAATCTAAATTTTCTTGTTTCTTATATGACAAGCTTTAAAAAAAAAAAAAAAAAAAAAGGGTCGTGAGTCTAATGCTGGTGCGTTTGGGATGCTTATTGAATTAATGCAAATAAACCAAACTAAACTAGTCCCTGAACTCTTCAACCTCTTCCAGTATTTCTCTCACCTGCTCTCATCGGCTGAGTAATGTGTTTTCCTCTCAACAAACGGTGAACGTGAAACACTTTCATTGAAGTTGGAAAGATCTTTTTTTTTTTTTTTTATCTAAAATTAGATTAAATTAAAAAAAGGTGTCATTAAAGTAAAAGTGTAGTATCTCTGAAAAGGGAAAAGTCACCCTTAACTTTGAAGTCGCTGTGTAGCTTGAAAGTGATGTTCATTTAAGTAAGCTTATTAAACTGACTAAACTGCGGGCAGTAACAACCATCCTCCCTGACTCCACTTTTATTTCACCACAAATCTCTCTCTCTCTCTCTCTCTCTCTCTCTCTCTCTCTCTCTCTCTCTCTCTCGCATCTCTTGTCTGGGAGGAGGAGGGGGAGTCCTGCCTCTTTGCCTTCCTCAGATCAATGCCCTGGCCACTCACTTTCTGATGTTGCACGACGGGAAATGCTTTGAATACTTGCGACATGGCTGCGCGCATTGATTGCCAAGATTGACGGCAGCTCTACCCATCGTCTTCTCTTGTCTGCGTGTGCGTGTGTGAGAGAGAGATAGAGAGAGAGGGAGAGAGAGAGAGAGATAAAGAACAGGTAGGCGAACAACAAAAGGCACTTGTAGTTTTGGACAGCTGAACTTCACGGGATCCCCCCCCCCATACACAGCCGCGTGTGAGTAGACTTAAGTTTTCACTCAACAGATAGCTCAGAGATCATTTTCTACAAAGTCTAGCTGAGTGTGGCAGTCTTCACGCACGGGAAAGGACGCACAGTTATCTTCTCCACGGCTCGGATCATCAAGGTAAAAAACACGTTTGCTGTACTTGTGTTGTCCTGACATTTTCACCTTGTGTTTTATCGCTGATTCCTAAAAGTCGAACGCGCAGTCAGTGAAATGCTCCGGCACAGTGCGCGCGTTTTATTTAGTTTGTTTTTCTGCTGTGAAACACTTTTAGAAAGTGGTTTATGTGTTAAGCGTAGACCGGTTCACATACTTTGTAACGGGGGGAGTGACTGTCAAACTTTAATTATTGCGATTATTTGATACGTCGCTTTCACCAAAACAAGCAGGCGAGACGAGAGTGGCGCGTTACGTGCTCGGGATCGGAGGCGCTCGGATTCACCTCGGAATCAGCAAATCAGCGCTAAAAGCTGCTCAACATCCAACTTTATATCACAACTAAACTCTGAAACAACTCGGACGAGCGTCTGAAGGTTTGAAATCACCTTTTTTATTCTTTGTTTATTTCAGCAGCGTGAAGCCGTGCGAGCGGACTCAGGCTGTTCGTTGCAGCGTTAAGACCAAGCCGGACCGCTGTCACCGAAACATTTTCACTAAACACCGAGAAAAAAACTGCTGATTCTTCCTGAACTGTTGAACATTTAAAGGTTGACAGCGCTATAGTGTCTGTGTTTACATGTCCCGTAACTTTCTTTCTGCTGGTGGCAGTTTCACTTCTGTCCACAGAGCGGTACCATTCATTGACAATGACGTGCGTCCTGGTGGGTTTCCTGTCTCTGCATGTGAGGAGGACAAGTTTATGTGAAGCTTTCGCTCATGTCTCATTCTACCTTTCCACATTCCATGGCGCTTTGCCCCCAAACCGCCTCTGTCGTCTGCAGATTTCTGTCTGATTTTTCTCTCTTTTTTTTACTTTTTCTGTCAGAAACCCGGAGTTTCTGGCCCCCGTGCAGGCTGGGAATTTGCTCTTCCCTAACTTTCTCGAGAGGTCAGGGGAATTGACCTCTAAAGAATGCATAAGCCATAAATTAAATTCAACAATTGCAAGGCTTGTCCATTTAGAGGAGATGCACTTGAACAGACAGTTTTCCATTTAAGCCGAAAGCTCTGAAGCTCGGCGCTCCCGGACTGAACAGACACAACTTGTGAAAAGTGCAAGTGTGCTTAATAAGGATTGTTTTCCTGCTTTTATCCGGTCGTTGCTGCGAGACGATTCCAAAAATTATATCGCCAGGCCTCTACATAGAATAATTATTCTTTAGATATTTTTTTAGAGCACAATATAAACTTTACCCATTTTTGATAATTTGGTTAATCACTGACCATTTTTTTTGATAGGTTACACTGTCCATTAGGAAATATTAATGCTGCACAAACTTCATAATTTATTTTCTATGTTTATTGTAAATTGAGGAGTAAAATATGACTGGAAAAGAAAGATATTGGCTGCGGAGATGTCTCCCCATTTTAAGATGTTTTCCAAATTTAGACAGAAAAACGAGTCTCTTCAAACTGCTGCAGGAGTCGTGTCAACATTTCATCAGAACAGAATCACACATCAACACTGTAAACTATTTTCCACTATTTTAAATACAACTGTCATGTCGTGTCGTCCCTATATTTATTAAACACTGACGACCTGCGGTTTTTTTTTTATTTTCTGACCAGTCAGAAAAACACACCTGTGGCTAATTAATGAAAACCTAATTATCCCTCGCGCGTCCTTTCTCTTTAAACTCCTCAAACTGCAACGCATTCCTGGCTAATTCTCCCGGCTGAAAAACAGCTAAACATCTGTTCTCTGCGGTGTCGAAGTAAAGTTTTTTATCCTTGTTGCAGTTTAGTTTTGAACAGTTGCTCTTCGCTGTAGCTGTGAACGTGGGTTTCCTCATAAGGTAAGGCGGTTCTGGAGACCAAATGCAAGCCTAAATGGCACATTTATAATTAGACTGCCCATTCAGCACATTGTCCTGATTGCTATACAGGGACACTCGGCTCTGTCTCTATAAGAGTTTGTCTCTGACGGCTTGTGCAGCCCAGCGTGTCGCTCACCAAAAGAGCGAGAGAGGAAAAAGAGTGAAAAGCGGCATTACAGCCCTTTGATGCCAAGGAACCGCACTTGGCTCCTATTTAACATCTCTCACTTATTTTTGCACAAGGGAACCACCGGCATCTTAATTAATCCCCATTTTTTCCCCCTTTGTACACTTTGCAATTGTTACATACAACTTGAATGTGCATTTCAATCACTGATGAAAGGTTATGTGCTAATATCATTTTTGGCAGTATGACCCCCTTCGTATAATTTCTGCTGGTTTCTTCCTGGGACAGATGTGCTTTTGTTTCGCTGTAATTGCAGTCGCTTTAAACATTAATTAAAAACTAAAGACGCAGCAATTTGTTGGTGCGTGATAACCTTAACTGAAGTCGAAGTGCAGGGCAATAATATCATATTTATCATGTTTCTTGCTGACTGGCCTTGCACATTCTCTGTATTTTCAAGGACTAATCTGCGGGTGGATATCGGGGTGACTTGAGCTTTTTGCGAGACTGAGAAAGGCAGCATTTCCCACCTGGACTCAGCGTAAAGATTTAGACTCGCTGACGCTGATGTGCCAGTAAGTTCAAAGATTTTAGGACTTTCATTTTGGCATGAAGCGAGAAGCCACCCTTACTCACTTGTCTAAACCTATCCTGCACTCTGTCCAAGTCCAATATCTATCTTGTTGCAAGAGCAACTCTGCTGCTGATCTTTTTTCCCCCCCTCCCATTATTATTACACTGCAATTGGAGCGATTTTACTATTTGTTTTACTGAGCAGAAGTGAAATGTTGTGAATGAACCAGTCTTAAATTCTTTTTTAGACTAAGTGCCACAAATTGAATTTACCTATAGTTCTACTTTTAACTGTCCTCATCATCCACAGGTAGGATTTGTTTATACTAAGCTCTTGTGCCAGCAATTAGTGGGATCAAAGAAAAAAGGAGAGGAGAGAAAAAGAGAGAGAGAGAGAGAGAGAGAGAGGAGGGAGAGAGCGAGAGAGGGAGAGAGTTAGAGAGAGAGAGAGAGAGAGAGAGAGAGAGTGGATGGGGAAGGGTGGCAGACAGAAATGTGCTTTATGTGATGTGGTTTGAATATTTTTCTATATCTTCCTCCACATATGTGCACATTTATCACTGATTATGCTTTTGGTTGATGCCATTAACACGGAGGGTGAATTTGGTCATTTTGAGTTAACAGCAAATGTTGTTTACTGGGGATTTTATCGCAAGTTTGACTCAAGTCAAAAGAAAAAATACCAAAGTACCTGCATCAGTGATGGATCTGTATATTAGTCATCGCAAAGTGTTATTTTATTTGACTGCTTAAAAAAAATCAGGTGCTATTTATCTTTAAGCCACACACTGATGCAAATAAAAGTGCTGGTTTGTGTAGGTTTCATTTTACGGCCTTGCTCTTCTGCTAACAGTTTCACCCGGAGTGCATCCCCCTGCAGGGAATAACAGGATGCTTTTAATGATATTACAACCAATTCCAATTCATGATAAGCTGATTTCACAGTTGGATTAGGAAACAAAATTCTTATATTAACATAATTTTGCAACAGGGATATAAATAATAGCGATGTGTTATCATTTGCAGGTAGAGCAATGTTAGTATGTCAGTACTAATAATATGTGTAATACTGAATGTAGATTATTTCACACAAGGTCAGAGTTGTAAAGACGCTGCACCAGTCTCTCCAACCCCTGATATTTTAAATTCTTAGGTGTAAAAGCTTCACTGTTTTACTGCTCTAGTGTGTGTGCGCGCGTGACCCCCTGTACGCCTTAGCATGTGTGCATGCATGAGTGATACTTTGTTTGCTTCACTCTTGACACCGATAAACACTCAAGTTGATTTTTGATTTGAAATGTCAAAATCCAAAAAGCCGCTCCGTCTTCCAACCAGACGTCATTTAGACCACATAACTGAGACCTTACATATCCTATTATCTTTCCATAGATACTGTGCTTTGTAGAAAGACAGCTATTATGTTCCAGGTGACAGCATGCTGCGGGGATGAGGGCAGGCAGAGTGTGTTTGGGGGGGGGGGGTGCGCACAGGTAGTCTCCATCTCTAGTGGTGGAGGTAGTGGCTAAGACCTGATGATAAACAAGATGAGAGGAGGTAAACAACAGCAGGCCTGGTAAAGGTAGAGGAGGGTGGCAACAGAAGGGTGGAGGACGGCAGGAGATAATAAATGTGGCAGCACATGTTGTGACATCTGTCTTTCTAAGTGTTATCTAATTTGCTGTAGAATATTTCAACAATGATCAAAACTGATGGGAATATGCCACAGCAGTTTTTTTTTTTTTTTAATTTGTTCCCTTCAACAAGAAGTTTCTGACAAGTTAGTGACATGTCACTTCTGTCATGATGCTTAATTTTCTTTCACGGGACACTGGTTTGGCACTGCACAGTATTATGTGTAATGAATGCATGCATGCAGTGACAGGGAACTCGCCGTTCCCCCGTACACCAACGTAGCATTTGGTAGGGTGAGTAGATTGGGTTTTTGACGACAGTGTGCTTCGTGGCTTAAAGAGAGCAACTACAGTACATTTGTCTCCTATTTGGGTGAAATGGATTTGTGCTCATACAGGAGGAAAAATCTTTTCTCTGTCTGCACCATTGTGACTTCTCATAGAGGAGAAATACTGATGAAATCAGTGGTCAACTGAGTCATCAAGAGCAGACAGAGGGGCATCACCTTTACCAAGTCACCGTCTTAGTTGAAAAGCTGATGCAGAGCCAGACAGATTAATGGGAGGAGGTGTAAAACGCCGATGTAATACACCGATGTAATACACCGATGTAATACACTGCCTGTTTGAAAAAAGCTTGAGCATCTCAAGCTTTTACATTTTGAATTTCATCCAGCTTTGGCTGTTAATTTGCCACAATGTGATTGAGAGAGTTTTTTTAAGATTATGTTTTTCCTTGAACACAGGTATGTCTAATGTCAAAGATTAAACTTGAGAACATGTTATTTTTTTATTCAGAAACAAACCTATTGT